GCTCCTTATGCATTTGCCTTATGAGACAATTTTTGCAAATTAACTCTGTCCTCAGCTTCTTTCCACCACATGCTGTTAATGTTTTGCTTTTTGTTTTAAATAGCCTTTTAGCTTTTCTGATACATACTGTGGTTTTGATCAATAAGAATAGATGATGACGTAGTAAAATATTACCACTGTGTAACGCGTCAGTTTTGTCTTAGTGTAGACTATTTATTGCCTAAATCATGTCATGATTCATCAAACTTGGATGTGAGCTGATTGTCAGCTGAGAAACTGCTGCTGCTAATTACAAGAGTTAACTTGGTTGATCACCAGAAGTCTGCAGGGAAAGAAAAATCATGCTGCTTACACTTCCAAAAATAGCTTAATTTTGATGAACAGGAGCCTCATCTGCCTGAAGTTATTGAATTATTGATAAAATACGGTATCTGTCTTCTACCTAAAATACAATAAGTAGTTCTCGGTAAGTGAGATTAGCATATAGGATATAAACATATGAGTTGGATGTCACAGAAGGCTTTTTTGAGGCAACTGTAATTGGTAACTGAATAACTCCTCAGTTCCAGATGCATGGTGTAAGCAATTCAGAAACATAATGTCACATGTGGGGACATAGGAGTTGTCTGTCCATGGTGTGTGTTGTACAGGAGCAGCAGTGGTAAATTTTGAGGCATTAGGCATTATACTTGAATCTGGCTTTCTTGCTTTGGAATAACTTTTATTTGGGTTTATCCTGTCCTTTTTCTGACTTGTGTAATTAACCCATGTCTGAACGTATGCTACATACCATTAATCTGGTTATGAATTTGGCAATAAAGGGGAAGTAAACTAAGCTTTTCTTCTCTGCTTTGATGGTTCCCTAATGAAAGGGAGAATATGCTTCTGACTGGCAAAGGCTAAAGACAATACAAAATTATAAACTATTAGCTAGCTTCCCAGTTAAACATACTGAAGTATAAGTAGCTCTACTGCAATAGTCAGGAGGCAGCAAACTCATGTTCATGTTATACTGGAATATGCTGAGTGAAAGATTGAAGATGTAAATGGTTCAGAAAGAAGGCTAAGAGTTAGTTTCTGTCTAGTCCTCAGGGGATGGTTTAGCCTCCTATGTTTTATGATAGAAGTATGCACATGGTCCAGAAAAGGCAATAACTTTAACATTTGACACAGCTGGTGGTTGTGGGTATCTTTTGGTGGTTAGTAGTCTTGAAGAAATTTGGTACTTCAAGCAGCTTAGACTCTTTGTCAGGTTAAGAGTAACAGTTTACGCTGTTGCAGACAAACAGCAGTGGGCCCACCTCTTCATATGCTGGGCTTAGTATTCACAGCCTTATAATGAGCTTCAGAAAAAAAAACCCAAAATGTTGTTTGGTTTGCTTCCTTGATCACCTCAGTGGCATAAAGACAAAGAAGTAAGAGGAAAAAGTAAAAAGATTCAGTTTTTTGACAACAAAAGGGCCTTGCTTCTGTTGAAAGTGACTGCTTACTGTTTAAAAGCAAACTGTACTTTTGTGCTCCTTGCAATACCCTTCTGATGCTGGAACACATTAAGCTGCTTCTTCCAGGATAACACATATAGGCTCCAAATAGTCATTTACCACCAGACAGCTTTATACATCTGGACTTAACTTCTAACAATGTATGTAGAATTAGGAACACTTAAATGTTCTCCTTCAGTTTATTAACAGATGTTAGTATCAGCATGCTCTGATCACACCTGCCCAACAGTAATGCTACCATATGTACTTCAAGCTCATAACCCATAACTGGGATACTTTATTTAAGAGTAAAATTTGTTTCCTGAAATTTGACAGAAAATTTTGCTCTTGGACAAATACCATCCAGTGCAGAGATGCTTACAGCACGTAGACTGGAATACAGGTAAAAGGGTTCATCAAGAGAAAATCCTGTGTGCTTTATTACATGAGTTCAAGTTTCTCTTAGCTGCTATATTAACCATTTTTAATAAAAAAACCAAGATAGCACATTGGAGTTGAACAGCAGATGCTTAGATAAATTTATCATTGCTTACCTCTCTGAATGTTTTAACTTGTTCTGTCTTTCTAGGAAGGAACAAAGTGTGAAGTTCCCAGAAGACTTTTCAGTTAATCTTCCTAATCTCCTTAAATTTATTTTACATCACTCAAGTCTTTCTTTGTCAGAGCCCTGTACCAAAGAATGCCTACATAAAGAGACAGTTCTACAGCAAGGACACATCTCCCACTTAGAGAGGGAAATTCAGAAGTTAAGGTCAGAAATCAGCGCACTTCATCAGGCCCACGACCAGCTTGAAGCACAGCTTTCTGAAGCTAGGAGAGAGGAACATAGACTACAGCAGCAAAAACACACACTGGAAAAGCAGCACAAGACTCTGCAGCTCCACAGTGAGCAGTTACAGGCCACATATGACCAGAAGAATCAAGAATTATTAGAAATGGCTGAAAAGCTTCAAGAATTAGCTGATGCATCAGAAAACCTCCTTAAAGAGAATACTTTACTGAGAATCTTGGTGGCATCAAGGGAAGGAAAGCTACAGAGCAAAGATGAAAGTAAAGAAGCCCTTCAGTCAGAGCAAACACTTTCTGAAGATAATGATGTATCAGTTTCAACAGCTACGGCCACATTAGAGGAAAAAAGGATTGATAATATTGATACCATAGAGACAGAGCACAATAGGGGAAACAGGACAGAATGATTGCTTACACAAAGTCAAATGATGCAGTATTGGGTAGGTATTTATGCAAATTTTATTGAAATTCATTGTAAATAAAGACTTCTTCCCCCACATGATCTAAAAAAAGAAAAATCAAATGGAATATTTTTGTATACTTGAACAACTTAGTACATACCCACATCTAAAGAGAAGAGGAGAATGGAAAACACTTTCTGCACTTTACTATTGCACTAACTTGCAAACACCTATCCACTGAACTTAAAGATGCTGATTTTTAGGGGCAACTGTGCAGCACCTCTGACTAAGGACCAGGTTTTTTTTTATTGGCTTTCTCTTGCAGCTGCTGGAAGAGAAATTAGACCTTTGATTTATACTTTTCCATAATTTCTGAAGTTTGCCCTTTACACTGCATTCTCTGCTGAATTAAAATGGAGATGCTTCATCTGTGTAATCAGTAAACTTGAATGGACAAAGTCATCTTGCTACAACTATTCTGTTCTAGAACTTCACCACTTTGTATCACTTTTGTATACCAGTTGTCTGACTGTCTTGAAACCTGCAAGAGCCATGTGTGAACTGTTCTCTACTAGAAACTAAAGAAAGTCTTACTGAACTAATCCTTTTCTCCTTGATTTGCAAAAGGTCTAGAATGCAGCAGTTTTAAGTGTATGGGTCTGGGTATACATGCATTCTCATGAGACTAGTATCTTAAAAAAAAGCATGTACCAGTGTAAGTATAGCCCTCTATCATCTGTACCCCATATTGTACTCAAGAGGCAACAGCAGGAGCTTTTCCCTACTGAGAGCATTAGTTTTGCTTCAAATTACAGCCTTCAGGTTAAAAAAAAAAAGGCAAATGTTGAACTAAAATGCAAGTCAACATTTACTGTAGAAGAAACAGACAAGACTTTTTGCCTAGGCCATTATTGTCTTGCATATAGTTAAAATTCTCAAGCACACTTGCTAGACCTATATTACTTAGTTATTCCATATATACAGGTACAAGAAGCAAGTCTAATGCTTCCTATAGAGCTGAAGAACTTGGACTTCATTATTTGTAACTTATCTCAGGGAAAAGACTTACAGTAGCTTTTTTTTCCCTCCTAGGCAATTAGGTGTTTAAAAATTTCAGTAGGCAAAGGAAGCTATGTATAAAGTAATAGAAAATAGGTCAGTGGCCTCAAAGCATGTATGCCTACCCTAAGAGTTTTAGAATATGTAAGCTGCCAGTGGTGGCTCAGTGTTGTTCCTTCTCCTCCCCTTTCTGCCCCCTCTCCTCCCCCCAAACCTTTGAGGTCCAGCACTCCCTGTTTAACACATCTTTTTACAGTTACTATAGCTGAACTATAGCACAGAGCAGGAAACAGAAGGGATGTCCTTTTTGGAAGGACTTTGCCATTGCTAGCTAAAAACTTTTACAAACTGACTAGCAATCTGCCTTCCCCATATCAACATTTGTTTTTGTAGGAAAGACTGAAACTTATCTTGTAGTAGTACAGTTAAATCAAGAGAGTTATCTACAAGATACATTAACTGAATTCTGTAGTTGACTGTAGACTAAAATGCCTTTTTACAACAGGCTGTTAACATATACCCTAACTGCTAAGTACACAAACAGGGGTTCTAGGAAAAATTCATATTAGTTGCACTTATGCCAGTTTTAGTAAGTAACCACTTCTGCAGTTTCAGCATGCAGACCTACAGAAGAGAAGAGCCTGCTCTACTGCCATTTCAAACTCCTGGAAACCTTCTGGACCACCCCTGAGGGTTCAGTATCCATCATTAGTTCCCAGGTTGGAATCCATCAAAATGGCAGTTTCCTTGCAGTAGCTACATAGTTAGAGAACTCAGTTGTAGCAGCCAAAAGCTTAACCTACCTAGCTGCAACTAAAGGAAATCGATTCCTTTCTTGTAGCTCCTGTGTTTCCTCCCTCAACATGTTACTGAAGGCTTATACATTCTTTGCAAAGAAAGCATTCTGTATCAGTCCAATAAACTGTTAAGAGTAGGAGTTTTGAATTTAGGGCTGCGCACTCAAGTTAGTAGCAAAGCAAGTTTTAACTGCAGATCTGGTTCTGAAGGTCTGGAATCCCATCTACAGTTGTGGTTCAGGAGTCCCCTTGTGTGGTATGTACAATTGCATCATATTATTCCCGTATGCTGTGGAACTCAAAGCAAAAAGCTTCTGGCAGCCTATTTACAGTTCACAGTTGTAAAGTAGTTCACATTACAGTAGTAGCTCCATCAAAATAGGCTCAGCTAAACATTCAAGTAACAAAAAACACTAGTAGTCTCTTCACACCAATATATCCCTGTGTCTATTGCCGGCAATGGACATTATGCCAGGTGAGTCAGCTCCTGTCATAGAGGAATTAGGATACACAGCTGATGCAAAGTGCAACTTCTCAGTGCATGCAGTTGCAAAAAAAGCTTATTTAATCCTCATCAGAGTGTTTTCTGATGAGTAGTATGCATGTGACCAGGTTCTTCACAGTATAGGGATTCTTCTGCTGGTTACACACATTATAAGCAGAGTCCATATACATGTGTTGCTCCAAGTTAGCTATGTACTTCTGTGCCATTTGGAGTTAGCTTAGCTTTCCTCTCTACACAAGGTCCTTTAGCAGAGTACTGCACCAGAAGAAAGGGCTCTTTGGTTTCTCCTTCACCCACAATGCTTTCCTCATCTTCAGACTGGCTGATCCTTTGCAGACGCAGGTAACACCAGCAGCCCAGTATCAAGGCACCAAGAGCCGCAATAGCAATCAAAATAACAATAACAGTCACCACTCCAGTGGTGGGGCTATGATCCATAATAGACATGGTCAATATTTCAGATTGTCCCACTTCTTTAAGGAGATTCTTCTGTCCTCACTATCAGGCTTGCTGCATCTTCAAACTCCTGCAGTGCAAAAAATAGACACTTAATGAAGTTGTGCAGTTCTACCATATTCAGCAACATTGTATTCATGGTTGGTATCCTTCACAATGGCACATGACCCTCTTGCATTCAGTGCTTTGAGCTTCTCGCACTCCTACAGTTCTTCCTCATTTTAAGCTATTTCTTCAAACTGCCTTTGAAGATGCAGGTTTCTACATCACACTAAAGCAAATGAAAGCTAAACTTACTTCAACTCTTGACATGCTTGTCAAGATAGCACATGGTCAGCCTGCTAAGTTAACAATTTTAATAGAAGATGAGTCAAGACACAAACACATAATAGACTATATGGAAGTTACATAGTTTAGTATAGAGAAATTTAAGACTATTTAATGCAAATGCTAAATCATGGGTGAGCTCTCAAATACACAAGGTAGCAATTCAGCTACCTTTAGTTTTCCTAAAGGAATCCTACAGAAAGTATATTTGAGAGTTGGAAGTCTGGCCTTTTTAAAAATTTTAATTTACAAACATCCTTCCTACATACTAACAGTTCCAGGATTGGTAAGCTAATTGCAAAGGTTAATTGCTACACTAATGCATTACTATAAGCCTGTCCATAACACTGGTCTGTTTAGAAAGGTTGACTATGGTAATTAATTGGTTGTCCATTGAGCTGATAAAACAGCTGTTGCTTTATATGCATTTTTCATAAGAAGCAGGTAGAGCTAGATTTATTGAAGACTAATAAAACACAAAGGGAAGATCATTATTTTAACATGCTGCTCCTCTTACTGGCTTTCATACCACAAGAGCAAGGTAGCATGTTAGGACTGCAGCTGAAATTGGAACAGAGACAGCAGGCAGGAAAATGGGCAAGAGGAGGAGCTGCAAGACTTCCTTAGTCTGCTGCAGAGTTTTGGCAGGATGAAAAATATAGACTGTCTTTTGCTACTTGTACTTCCAAATTCACAACACTATTTAAGGGGTCATGTGAGCCTTGCCTTAAATTTCAAAGTTATTGTTAACAAAGCTGGTAGCTTTACATTCCTCCACTTCAACTGGGACATAAGACAAAGTCTTCCCTTCCTACTGCCCTAGCTCTTTAACAAGACAGAAACTCATGGAAGACTTTAGTAGAGACCAGAACCAGTCCTACCCAGGAGCTCTGTACTGCTCTAGGAATCAGATTAGGGCTCAATACTACAATTTCAGGTACAACAGATAGAGTCTGTAGTGGTTCTAAGGTCACCTGCAAGTGCAGAACAATGTGTGCATTTCAGCTGCCATGTAGCCACTGACTGGCAATGTATTAACAGGAATATATTCTGGCTGCTGTAAGGGCAGGTCTATCAAGGGCCACATACCATTCCAGGAAAGGCTCTTCCTCACCATCCTTGTTGCAGTCTCTCAGCTGCAACAGCAGCATCTTCATACAAACCCCTCAGGAGAAGTCAGTCTTAAATGACCTTGAGCCAGAAGCATTAGCTTATTGTGTTATCCACTGCACTTGAATTCTCATCAGCATTTCAACACGAGTCAAGGCAGTTACAGTGCAGTATCTTCACCAACAGGACTCAAGTTAGAGACTAAGTTTATTCCCTAACATCTCATGGAATGGCAGACACACACACACTGCCACATAGCCATTTCAGCAAGGACACATCCACTAAAGAGAAGTTCAACATGAGCGTCACTAGGGTCCAGTGTCACATAACTAACTTGCACACTGGCTACATTTCCAGCCCTGTAAACTACAGCAACCAATAGCTTGTAGTGTACCAACTAAGTCCCACAGACCCAAGTTTTGTCCCAGTAAGGAAAACAAATCACACCACACACCCTCAGCAGAGATGTGTACAATTTTTGTCATCATCATCTTGGTTCTGCAATGCTTATTCAACACAGGGTGATCAGCTGAGGGTGATTAAGAGTGACTTTCATGTAGTTCATTTTCCTCAGGGCATGTCTGAACTGCAGCACTTTGATCTAGCCACAACAGTACAGCATCAGCATAAAAGATGGTTTACCTTGCCTCTCATGCAGGCACTGCATGTCCACATTAAGCCCTCTTCTGCAGCTTGCACAACTGCTAGCAGCAGTGACAACCAACTAGCACTGTTTTCTCTACAGCAGTTTGGTGCTCCACATAACCTTACATGAGAATTAAACAATGCAATGGTTTCAGTTTGATCTGGAAAACACAGGCAGGTCTGCAAGTTCCTGTTTGAGGGAGAAATGGGGCTCTTTAAGGATGCAGACCTCTGTCTTGAGACAAGGCTTTCTCTCATCAGGTTACACACTGGGCTCTTGCCATTCCCATTTCTTCTGGGATCCTGAGGAGTACAGCTGGACCAGGAAGTCCACTGTTTGGGAAGGTGCTTTCTCGGAACAAAGCATGCACAGGAGCAGTTCAGAGGAGTTAGAGGTAGGCATTTATTGCTGTCCTTGTGGGAAGAGCTATATAGTACTTTCTTATTTACTGTTCTTGGCCACTTCTGTTTAACACCACAATTACTGCTTAATAACACTGCTACTGCTTGCTTGAAGTTGTGAAGCAATTTAACCCCTACATCCACCTTTTGGAAAAATCCTGATGTTAAACTATACAAAGATCAGACCCAAGTCTCCATCGGTCTTATTTCTCAGCAGACACTGGGAAGAACCTTGCGGGCCCACATGCACTCCATGAGTGGGTGACTTCAGTCACTAGCAACTCCCACACAGCTGATGCTTCTCAAATATATGAAGTTCTACAGCAGATGCCAGTCAGGAGCATAAGTAGAGAGTTTCAAGGTGCAGAGCTGGCCAGGAAGAACACGCTGATTACTTTGGGTACAATAGCTTTGTTTCTTTTTCCTCTGCTCTAGCACATCAACTCAGCTTAGTCATGACAGCTCCTTCTAGAATAAATTCACATTAATCTTTTACAAAAGGACAGATTTAACAGCTGGGAGATCATCTTTTCTTGAAGTCTTGCTCTTAAGTTTACACACAATGAAGAATATTATCAGACTCATCCTTCCAGTCTAAGGGGTCACTTGTATTTATTATCACCAACTAACTAGAACAGCTCTTAGGACAACTGAAATGTTAACAGTAGTAGATATAAACAGATCAGAAAGTTGTAGGACCTGTCCTTGAGGCAGGATGTTTTACATGAATGCTCACTCTGTTTACACTAGAAAGTTCCAGCTGAGTTAGGCTCTCCTGTGTCTCAAGTGATTTGGCTTTGATATGGCAAGGTAGAAAGTGTTAGAGATAGAGAACTAGGACCTCCAGGATGCACAAGACAAATTTGGACTGGAAGTTGTTTAATAAGGGTAAATCAGAGTGCAACACAACAACCTACAGATTCTTCTTAAAGATCTTTCTTGGCCAAATCCATAGGTTTTTACCTTTAAAATTCTGAATGCTTTTTTATTTGATTAAAAATTCAAAGGATCTGCATCAGTTTGATCTCTGGGACAGAAAAGAGCACTACTACCTCTGGATGCACTGCCCAGTAAATTCCCTTTCTCTAGGCACAGAAACAAGTGCTATCTCACATTAATACTGTCAAGATAATCAGTTTGCATCAAGAAGCCCTTTCTAGCTTCTATTTGGAAAGCTCCTCGCATCTTTGTGCCATACCATAGTTAATGCTAAGAATTGTAGGAGAAAACAAGCCTACATATCTTCAGAAAGATTATTCCACAGACATTCCCCTTCTAGGGAAAGGACAACTAGACAGAATTCAAGGTCACTTTCTCAAAGCACTTCAACTCCACTTCTCAATGAGATAAATGTAAAGTGTAGAAGTCATTCCTTCTGCAGGCATATCCTCTTCTCACTCAAGGAGTCTGGAGCCAGCACCTTATATAAAGTCAGGTATTAAGCATCTGTACAAATTTACAGTGGCACAACCAGCTAGTTAATGGTGCATGATAGTAACTGGGATGGTAGCACTGTTACTTTATTAGCTTTGGATAGTTTTGTTTCAAACACCTGCAGTGTTCTGGCACCAAAAGCTACAGTGTTGTTGCTAACTCATGCTGCTATATTTCTGGCTTTAGGTCACTGTATACCTAGAGCTAAAGCTCTCCTGCAGCCTTAATTCTGTCCTTTGCACAGTATATTTGCATGTTGTAACTATATTAGTAAGAACTACCAGAGAGGCCTTTGGTTTCTGCATTGTTTTCTAGACACAGAACTCCAACCTCACTACTCTTTCCACCAGCAACTGATTGAAATCAAGATTTAGCTGTCTTCACAGTCCACTTCTTGATGGGAGAAATACTGCATTCTGTAGATCCCCTTAAATTGATCTAAATGAGATTACAACTAGCTTTGAGACTCACTTTTCCCTTAAAGCATGCCTGAGCTAAAAAAAGCCCATGAGCATACCAGGAGCAGCACTGACTTACTTTATCACTTTTACTGCAAGATATCAAAAGCTGTAAATTCCTGATCTTCAAAGGGATTGCTAACACCATCCATATATACTTGGTGGCGCTTCTAGTGCTATGTCCCTTCCCACCACGCTTGCTATCAAAGCAAGCATCTAAGCATATTTACTCATTAGCAAGATTAGTCAGATTTACCGGTGGGAACTGCAAATAGCCTCAGTTCTTAGAGCAATCAAGCAGTGAAAACATCAGCTATAAACTAGTTTTCCATAAATAACAGCTTCTTTTCTTTTTTGCCCAATACCAGCTTCTACACAGAACTTCATTTTTTAAATTGTTTTTGGTTTGTTTTGGTTTTTTTTTCTTTTATCCAATTCAGAAGCTGTAAGTAAAGGACAAACAAAAAGGCAGTTTAAATTGCAGGAGGCTGCTAGAGGACAAATTCAATGCAAGGCTGGCATTAGTTTCTAAACCAAGTTTTTAATGATTATAGGTATTCTGCTGCTAAGCTCACTATCGTTAATGCCTGCAGGCATGTTTCTGAAAAGAAATACTGCTATTATAGATGCCAAAGCTGTATGCTGTATGAAGAGGCTTAAAAGCAGATCTACTATAGTTCACCCAAATATACCAAAGTCCTCAAGCAGTTATGTTCAAGGTGCACGTGTTAAGTCTTTAGGCTTTGTTTTTTTTGGGTTTGGGGGTAAAGGTAGGAGGTATACCTTCTATTACAGTATTTCGCCTAAAGTAAGTTGAATGGGGCGGGGCAAAGGAAATGAGAATAAAACTACCAGAGGACTTCAGTTTAAAAATAAAAAGATTTAGTAATGACTGCTTAGTTAAAAAGCCTCCATGTTAAGACCTTTAAAAGGCAAAGTAACAGCAGCTTGCACTACATGCTACTAACTGAGAAAAAAGCTTTTTCTTGTATATGCCAGTAAGATTACTTCTGAGGAATGCTGCATACTCTTCACAAGACCTTCCTTATTGCCAATGGAAGATGAGGGGAAAACCCTCTGGGGAAAATCAGAGCTGTAATTCTACCATTGGCACACAAGTGCATACAGCACCCACACTACCCAGCCATAGAGAATTGGGCCTTTACAATACAGGAGTGCTCAGGCTTCACCACTTCCAAAAAAAGTAGGATCACTGTTATTCTTAATTAACTCCAGTTAATGGCACTTCTTTCTGATAAAGCCAAATTATCTTGCACAAACTGGGGCTTGGCCAGAGGATATTTTAGAAGCAGGGAGGTGTTTAGTAGAAGCCTTCAATGCAAATCTTCTCCTCCCAACCCTTATTATATTTGTGATAAGGAACAGAAGAGCAGGGAAGGCAGCTAAAAAAGGCCTTTCTGTGGCTAATTAGTTAGGGACAGTCTTCCAACAACTTGGCATTCAAGCAACTGTTAGAAACACAAGAATGAAAAACAATACTGAACAGCATTGACCGGAACAGCAGTTAGTTTCTGCATGAGGTGTAGTAGTACCTTATGCTTAATCAGGAATCACTTTCAGAGCTTTACACCAAGCTAAATCACACAAAAGTTATTATTTTACAGAAGACAGTAAGATTAAGAGAAGGGAGCAGCAATCTAGGAAGTTTCCCAGACACAATGACACAAATTCAAGAATAGGCAGACCTTCTCAGTAGAACAGCAAGTAGAATAGGTTTACACTGTAACTGCCCATCAGGCAAGTCAGCCAGTTCATGCAGAACTAGAATCAGGTTTCTAGTGTTAAGAGCATGTTTGCTTCAGAGGCAATCGCATGGCTGGCAAAGCATTCGTCACACTCTAGATTTGTATTTCTCAGTGTCACATCTACATGAAGCTCTGATGAGAGGTCCGTCCTGATAACAAGGTCACTTCCGACATTCCGGTATCAGAAGTAACATGCTGTGTATATCCCGTGGCATAGCTTAATTCTTGATATATTAGAAAAATTGCTGAGATAGCAACATTAAGTTTGTTGATAAAAAAAACTTTTTCTATTTACACATTCAAGATAGTTCTCCAGATGTATATGGTCTGGGGTTTTTTAATGGCTAGATATCCAACAGCTATATGGGTGCTATCTAACAGCAGCTAGATAGCACCCATACATTTCTGATATTCAAGCAGATTTTATACTCAGCTCAAATCCTCAGACTGCAAGTACCCCAGAAGTCTATCACATACCTGTACCAGGGTAGCTCAAGAGCTCGGGCTAGGAATCCTCTACTCAGTTTCCAAATCACCTTATATTAGAAAAGTGAAGGTCACACTGGTTTTGGATCTTGTCCGGCAAGCCTTCCTCCTCGCTCCTCCCCTGTGGAGAAGGATCGCATTGGTCTCTAGATGCTCGGCATCCCGAGTCCCTTCTGCTTTTGGCGTTCCAGAGTTACGTAACCATGCCCAACCACGAGCTCCTGGCACAGGCACTCGGGGAAAGAGGACCCGATACCGTTTCGCCTACCTGCTAATCAAGGCAAGAGCCTTACGAGCTGTTCCGAGCTCTTTAGCTCTGCCCAAAGCAGCGTCTACTGACAGATGTCTGCACCTGCATTCACGTCAGGAAGAGGAAGAGCGCGAGACAGCACGGTACGCGGCGGCCGCTCGGAGGAAGGAGCGAGAGTCGTTTTGAACGACTCGCGTTACCGTGAGCTCCCAGGACCGCCGACGTCGCGGTCAGTTCGGACCTCCC